TTGTAGATATCTTCAAGAGATGTCCAGCAAGTCTTAGATCACCTTATTCTGAGGTCGGACGTGAAAGTTATGGCCAAAATACCAAAGGTTATTTTCCTAGTCAGATTAGGATTCCTGGTTCGGGTCAAACGGATTTATTTCGGGTTTGCATATATATAAATAGGTGTTTTCACGAAAATTAATATCCTTACATCAGAGTTTCAAATCCTAGCAGCCTCTCTTCCTCTCTCTAAACCCCTAGCCCTAAAGTTGAGAATTTTGAGAGCTTTGTGAAGCAAACATCGACACGAGGGCGAGATCATCAACGTGTAGCAAGGGAAAAACGACTTGGTTGCACTTCTTTTTGGTTGCTGGTTATTTCAGAGGCTTAGAAAAACGTCTAAGGCAAGATTATCTTTATCCAAACCCTTCTCCATAGTTAAATAACTAGTTAGATATTTTATATGATGTTGAATATGTGTTTTCATGCTTGAATCTTAACATGATGTGATAAAAATAAATTTTTGATGTTAAAACATAAACCAATGCTAGATTAGAAATTTTTTTTCTTATGGGTTCACCCCAAAATTGGGGTGTTTGGGTTTAAGAACGTGTAGATCAAGTTCAACAGAGCGGATCGCAAAAAAAATTAGGAAATGATGTGATTTTAGGTCGCGTCCTTAGGTAGGAGCCTAGGGTGTCACCTTAGATTCACTTTTCCCATATATATATATATATATATATATATATATATATATATATATATATATATATATATATATATATATATATATATATATATATATATATATATATATATATGAGATTAATGAGTATCCTTGTCATAGGAGTTAACATCAGTTTGCAAAGAATTTAAAATTTACAGTTAACACCTCAATGTCTCAAAAATTATAGAAACACCCTCAAAAGTTTAAATTACAGACAAGCACATTAAAATTCTAAAATTTTAAAACTTTCAAACAACACAGATAAATTTAATAGATTACCATGATACACCTAAAATTTTTGACATTTAAATTTAAATTTTTTAATTAACACCCTCAATATCTCAAAAATTATAGAAACACCTTCAAAAGTTCAAATTATAAAAAGCCACCCTAAAATTCTAAAATTTGTAAATAAAATAAGATGAATTCAAGATATTACCCTTAGACACCTAAAAAATTAAAATTTGCCAAAATTAACTTCAAAATTTTTAAAAAACTCCTTCAAAATTTAAAAATCGTAAAAAAACTCTAAATTTTCAAAATTTTTAACTAGCACACATCAAATTTGTCGATTGGTAGACCGCTGAAATTTAATATTTTTCAAAATTAATCTATAGTTTTAATAATTATAAAAGACACCCTCAAAATTTTAGAGTTACAAGAAATATACTAACATTTAAAAAATTACCACCAACACATGAAACATAGAATTTACAACTACCAAACTTAAAAGTAAATTTTTTAAAAAACTCTTTCAAATTTTTAAAAATTATAAATCACACCCTCAAAGTTCAAAACCACAAAAATGGGCTAAAATTTTAAAACTTGGCAAAGAAAAGTGTAATTGTTTGGTATTTTATATATATATATATATTAAAATTTCTAATTTAGGGATTTACTATCCATTTTCAGCATCTAAGAATAGTCTAAGTTGATACTGGTAAACAAAAATAATAAGAATTGATTAAAAACATCCGGTTAATGGATAAAATTTTTAAAATATTATAGATTAAAAATTATCGACACTATATAAATTATATATATCCTTGACGAATTTGATGTGTGCTAGTTAAAAATTTTAAAAATTTAGAGTTTTTTTACGATTTTTAAATTTTGAAGGAGTTTTTTAAAAATTTTGAGGTTAATTTTGGCAAATTTTAATTTTTTAGGTATCTAAGGGTAATATCTTGAATTCATCTTATTTTATTTATAAATTTTAGAATTTTAGGGTGACTGTGTTTTTATAATTTTTGAGATATTGAGGGTGTTAATTAAAAAATTTAAATTTAAATGTTAAAAATTTTAGGTGTATCATGGTAATCTCTTGAATTCATCTGTGTTGTTTGTAAGTTTTAAAATTTTAGAATTTTAATGTGCTTGTCTGTAATTTAAACTTTTGAGAGTGTTTTTATAATTTTTGAGATATTGAGGTGTTAACTGTAAAATTTAATTTTTTTGCAAACTGATGTTAATTTTTTAATTTCATATTTTTTATTTTAAGTTTTGATACATTTGGATGAGTTTTATAATTTTTAACTTTTCAGGGTCTTTTCTGCAATTTTAAAACTTTTTATGGTTTTTTGCAATACTTCATGTATTATAATATGTTATCTACTTGTAATTTCTTTATCTTAACAAACTAATATCATTTTTATGTTTTATATATTTTATTAATATTAGTTTTTTTTAAATTGTTAGCTAAACATGGTTCACATAGGATTAGGATAAGATATGATTATGATTAGGATAGATTAAGATATAAATAAAATATTCAAAATAGTGAAGGGTAATATTGACCATTGAAAATTAGAATTTACCAAGAAATAGAAATGGAAATGGTGAAAATCTTAAAACTCACCATTTCCTCCATTTCCATCCCTAAAACTCACCCACAACATCCAATAAAATATTATTTCCATCCAACAACTCATCCACATCATCTAATAAAATATGATTTTCATCTAACCACTCATCCATCACATCTAATAAAATATTATTTTCATCTAACAACTCATCCATCACATCTAATAAAATATTATTTTTATCCAAATATCAATCAACTCATCTCTTCTCATCATTTCAAATCACTCACATCATCCAATAAAATATTATAACAATTCACCTCATCTCATTAACATTTCATTTCTTCATTTTCATCCCAAAAAGTTATGAAAACACTTTTCTTAATCTTTCTTCACATCACCCAATAATACAATGACAACTCATCTCATCTCATTTCATTTCTTATTTTTAAGAATGAACCGAACAAAAGAAAACAAGAAACTACAGGAAATATGTTTCTTATAATTCATTTCCTTATTTTTTTTTTGCTAACCGAACACTCCAAAACTAGTTTTCTTAAAAAATCACAAACATCATCCAATAATAAGGTGACAACTAACATCATTTCAATTTCATTTCTTTGATTTCCTTCTTTTTTAGCCAACCAAACACTCCAAAAACAATTCTTCATTTTAATAGTTTTCCATTTCTTTGATTTCCCTCTTTTTTTTAGGCAAACGAACAGGCCCTAAACCATTTTTAGTTACTTAACTGCTTATTTGCAAATGGCTTCAAAATAAACTTAAACGCATGGTCTTGGGCCGGTTCACACAACACTGATTGTTTCCTAATAAGGAGTTGCAGTTTGTAAAGAGACCAGTTTTAAGAGGCCCATATCTACGGAACCTTTCTACAAAGAATAAGTTGTTTGGTGTTATAACTTGGTCTACGTCCGGATATATTATTGGGTTCTCTGAAAAAGGGTGAAAATTTGGTCATGCTGTTGTTGGGCTAAGCCGGGCCCTGAGTCTCTTGCGGTTTGATGTTTTCTTTAATTTACTTTTTTTTTTGGCTCCTGTGGTTGAAATTGGAAGGGCTAAATTGCCAAATTGGCATTTTAAGTAAGACGCTTTTCCAATATAGTATATCATCAGAATGATATTTTATTTTAACCCTCTTTACTAATAGAATATTCTAAAATGCTATGGGTATATTAAGGTATTATATATCAACCCCATTTACCACTAAAACTATTTTTCTTGCCGGCGATGAGAACCATAATTTTTCTATTAGGAAAATTTCTTCCACCGACCTAGCCTCCATATTTATTGAATATACACTTAACCCGTTATAATGTGGGGAAAAATAAAGTTTTTTATGTGAAATTGACCCATTAAAAAACTTTCTCTTCCCTATCCATACTCAATCCAGGGTTTTGAATCGTTTTTTTAAGGATTGAGGTGAAGGCTTTGAGAGGGGAAATTGTGAAAGGAGGAGAGAGTGTGA